ATATATATATATATATATGTGTGTGTGTGTGTGTGTGTGTGTGTGTGTGTATTCTGGACATTCATGACACTGTTCAAAAATCCCTCCGCAAACATCAGTCGGCTGGCGAGAGTAGTAACTTATGATATCCCACATAATGAAAGCAGGGGTTGAACCTGTGTCATGGACCAATGAAATCCAGATGTTATCCCTATGTCCTATACCTTACACGCAAACAATCATTACTTGCATGAAGGCAGAATCGTGTTACGTCGCTGAAAAAACAGAGTTCCATTCGATCTCCCTACTGAGGCGACCCGTCTCGTGAAATTTCTGATGAGGCATACGGCCGTGATGTAGAGACGTAAGCCGGTCAGGCTAGAAGCACACGTGACATAAGCCTTGTTGTAAGTAAACGATTCCCATCGGTCAGTTTTGATACTTCTGGAGCCACATTTGCTCAGATCGGTGATGTGTGACTGTGTGATCTATCACCGAAGCCCTTACATCGTGTCGATTTCAGAATACGCCTGTACTACCTGACCGTCCAGAATCTGATCTACGGGCGTATGAAAAGTCTTACCTGCATGTAACTCAGTATTATCTGCCTGACGTTTCTTGAAGAAGATATGGGCACACGGCTAAATCATTTAAGTTGCATCAGAAATCTCTTAAAGTATATGATATACACCTCGACTAGCATCTTCACTGTAGCACGTTTACAGCGATACGTTTGTGTTGTCTTCGATTATGGAACAAAATAAAACATTGTTTTAGCTTTCAAATTGTTCATGCCCTGTTTGTGGTCCCGGATAAGAGCTGGAGTCTTGTCTAAAGCTTCTTACTTCAAATTATTTCAATTTAATTTGACGACCGAAGAATAAGTCGGTCAAAAATAGAGCTGTTGTAAAAAAAAGTAAGAAAAGGCGAAGAAAAAAGAGAAATAGTTGATTATTTCCTATATGCAAAATTGGCGATGATTTCCAAGTATTATGATTTCGATTCTGGTTGTTAGTTTTGCTATTTTAACCTCGTACTAGACTAAGATAAGCTTAGTATAGAACAAGCAGAGATTGGTATTTTCAATGAGTTGCATCATAGTTGATATGTTTATATAGCTCAGTGTTCGAACCTAAGTAAAAGTCGCGAATTCAAATCTTGATTTTAAAGAATGTTCAGAAAAAATAATGTGAGAAAATCTACTCTCTGTTTATATTTCTTTGGATTTAAGCCGTTCGAAATTCCAAATCCAGGGCCTTGTCACTACTGTTGGAGGAACAACTTCCTGATTGACCATGTCTTCAGAGGTGTAGCTGTACTCACCCCGTTTGACTAACTGCGGGTTGGTGAGGCTATTTATTGGTGTGGATGGCTGTTGGCTCTGAGAAGTTCATTCATCTTTTAACAGCTCTTGTTTGTTTCGTGACGTTGGAGGTTCCACTTACCCTCAGACCAGGTAAGCCAGTTTGAATTTAGATTTGGCCATCTGCTAGACCCAGTGTGCCCTGCTATTTTTAGAGTTTTCCATCTGCTAGACCCAGACTGTCCTGCAATTTTACAGTTGTTCATCTGCTAGACCCAGTCTGTCATGTTATTTTTAGAGTTGTCCATCCTGTTATTTACCTATAGCTGGAAGGAGAAGAAATGGATTCATACTTTTCCCAAGAGTATTTGCACGTAACTGAATGTAGAAAACTCGACTGGAATTCGAACTTGGCCCTCCGATTCCACAATCCTATCCGCTATCCATTACTCCACGGTGCCTTAGTAAATATCAAAAGTAAAATTGGTCTGTTTAAAAAGCAACTGGGTTTTTTTAATTTTTTTAATACTAGAATTAACCCAGTACAAGACACAAGAGTCACTTAAGGTAGAGAATGACTATTAAAAGAACGAGGAGGTGATATGAATTAAAGACAATATAATAGGAAGTAATGATATGAGGAGACACAATTATTGAGCCGTAACTTGAAGACGTTAATAGTACAGTGTCCATGGAAATAACCATGCGGGAGTCTATACAACAAAGTGGCTGTTATTGGGGAAAGTGTAACTTACCTTTGAAATACGGAGAAAATAAGGAGCGATTCGATTTCGTAAAAATAGCATGGCGTGTCCTAACTCTAAAAGTCTAAACAGGTGGAACTAAAGAGTGGAGCTCATCTGAACATTTATTATAGAAAAAGATAGATAGACGACCGATAGATTTGCCACGTTGTATCTCAAGGTAATAAACTGCAGATTGAAGAATATCTCTTCCCGCGTCCACGATTTTGAATCCTATCAAGGCAGAGGATCGGGTTGCTCCAAGTCAGATGTAGCAGCAATACTCCATTTCTAGTTTAATCTGACAATTTTAAAAATCAAACTTGACAGAAATCAAGTTTTTCCTGGAACTATAAACTGGTTTAACTATTTTCCCAACATCTTTAGCAATGGATCGTGTATATGAGTCCCAATTGGAATCTGGAGTGAACTTAAGATCCACTAGATGTGCAAAGAATTGTGAGTGCAAACTTTGGCTGTGTGAATTTTTAGATGAAGAATTATAATTATTAATTTTTTTACTACATTATCTTTCATCCTATTCTTGTGGCACTTTTAACCGCAAAGTGAATTTTGTTTTACACTCTACAACAGTAAGATAGGCGGTGTGGAGTGGAAATAGAGAATTCGTGGGAACTTGTCTGAGGCGGATAGGAACTGAACATTGCGACCAAACAGCTAAGAAAAAGCAGTGTTCCAGGTAAAAATGAAAAATCGGATGCTCATTTTCCAGGTAGAACAACCCTGCTTGTATAATTGGCATATCGGCTTGTTTAAATAACTCTTTGTTTCTGATTACCTCTGAATATTTAATGGTCATAGAATGTCGGGCGACCCTAGGGGTGTTACAAAACGCAACAAAATAAGATGAATGATATCCTCGTAAAAAAATGAGTAGAAATATCGGTCGTTAGGTTCCCTGTTGTATAAGCGAAAGAAACATGGCGGCGTTTACAAGAATAATTATCTAAAGAAATGAGTCGTCGTCAAAAATAGTTCAGACCACGCGGGAGCGCTTCCAAAGATTTGTAACGTAATTATGACTGCTTTAATATTTATAAAACTGGTCCGTGAAGCTGACTTGCAAAGAAAAGACTCGACGGGTTTGGGAAGTAGAGGCATTCACAATAACAGTGTTTGCCTTGCGTTCTTGTACTTGTGGCTTGTCGCTTCTGAATATTTAGCGAATCTCTGAACACTTAAATACAAAACGTTAGACTTGGAGATGAATGTAGGACTCACGTATGCGAGCCGCACACGATTCAGAACTAATGTTCTTACGCGCACAAACCGAAGTACACCTCGACAGAGAGTATGTCTACGTACATTCAAATAATGCCTCTAATAATGTGTATAATGTATATAAAAACGAAGATAAAAAGAGAAAATAGATAGATAGATAGATAGATAGATAGATAGAGAGAGAGAGAGAGAGAGAGAGAGATGAAAAAATATTGAAAGAAAAGTAGACAAATAATGCTTCTGATAAATGTATATAATGTATATAAAAACGAAGAAAAAGAAATAGAAAGATAGATAGATAGATAGATAGATAGAGAGTGATATGAATAAATAGTGAAAGAAAAGTAGACAAAAAGATACACGCACATATTTTAAAATATGTTTTGCTGAATCTGACAAAGTGTGTCTATTCAATTCGTTATGAAAACACCAACTTATACACCGATTTGAACGATTGAATAGACAAACCTTGTCAGTCAAATTCAATAAAGAATATCTGAATAAATTCTTGTAGTTTAAATACACATTATATATATATATATATATATATATATATATATATATATATATATTTGTACTTGGACAGCAATCCATCTTTTTCATTAAAGACGACTGATTAAGTTTTTTATTCAGTTTTTCTTGCATTCTTTTCAGTATTTTCTTTTCTGGGAATATTGTGTGTAAAAACTGGCCAAATGTTCAATATATCCTACCAAACTTCGTCCGTAACATAATTGTGGAAAATACGATTATAATAGCCTGGTCTACATGTACAAAAACGGCTAAAAATAATGGAAGCATTAATAATAAAAAAGAAAAAGCCATCATGGAATAATATCAAAAATGAACATGTACACTACGTACTGCCTGTGTTTTGAAAATAGATAAAAACATTCCCATCACTACAGATACATATATATATATATATATATATATATATATATATGTAAATCTACGTAGAAAGTTAAATATAAAAAAAGCATCCTTGATAATGGCTAATAGGATAGTCGAAAACGATCCGATATATAGAACATTTGCACAGATTTTACACACTTTCTTTCCAGAAAAGAAAAATGCAAGAAAATCTAAATAAAAGATTCTCAGTAAAAAAAGCGCAGTACCTTGTCAGTCATCTTTAATAAAATATATATATATATATATATATATATATATATATATATATATATATATATATATATATATATATATATATATATTATTAGTGGGCAATATATATATATATATATATATATATATATATATATCCATATCAAGAGGATAGAATGTGTGTGTGTGTGCTTATGAGTGTTAAGGATTCTAAGTGTAGACATAATGAATTATGAAAGTCATACAAATCACCAAATTACTAATCAGTTATATAATCGTATGCTAGATCCAGTTTCTAATACTCTGGATTGAGCGGTTTGTTGAGGGAAGTCGTTGCTCTTGGGGCCAGTTCTATGGGCTATCTATGCTTGGATGAGTATCACTATCAGCTGCGCTATATTGTGTCTAGTAACTTAGTTTCGTCATCATGGCCCGTTGGCCCAAGGGTATAATGTTTGCTTCGTATTACAATAATGACGCAAACATTATGCGGTCCAAATTCAATTCTCAAAGTTGGTAGAGAATGTGCACTGATGACGAGTCCCTCCAAAAGTCGAAACGGCCGTTCAGTGCTTTTCCGCATGTGTGTATGTTGAGGATTCTAAGTCTAGTTCTGATGAACTATTATGAATATCTATCTATCTATCTATCTATCTATCTATCTATCTATCTATCTATCTATCTATCTATCTATCTATATGAGTGTGTGTGAGAGAGACAGAGATACAGTGGGTGTGTATCCTTATAAAGAATGTGGTCAATCCTTAACATTAAATTCGTAACGTTTAATGACTAGAATGATTTCGTGAGACGTATAAAAATGCTACCAGAGACATGACAGGTTGAATAAACTGAGAGACGAAGAGATTGCATCCCTGGATTTTTAAACAGGATGAATATATATGATCGAATGTACTCGAAACATGGCACATTATTTCGAGAAATTCCTTTACAAGATTTCACACAAGCTGGAAATCATCAAGTGGCTATATTTATCCTCCACACACACACACACACACACACACACACACACACACATATATATATATATATATATATATATATATATATATAGAGAGAGAGAGAGAGAGAGAGTTTTTAATTCCTTTTATAGGGTTTATCAACGCTTTGCATGTTATTTAAAGCCAGAAGATATTTTTAGATTATAAGAACTTTTTTGTGAGACAATAATTGTTTAGTGACACAAGTTTTGATAATTAATCCATAACTTGGGGATTAAGCAGTGAATTCATGTCCTACGTAAGGTTATTTGCGTGTAAGTGAATATAACGAACCCAACAGGAATTGAAACTCAGTTCTCCGATTACCAATCCTTAGCCATTATCACCAGCCACACATTCAAGCTTACACCACCTGATATTCCCAAGCGGCCTCTAGTCTAGGTACTGACCAGGCTCAACGTTGCTTAATTTCGGTGAGCGTATGGGAACCAATGTTTTGTGATGAGGTCATAAAGATATATATATATATATATATATATATATATATATATATATATATATATATATATATATATATGTATGTGTGTGTGTGTGTGTGTGTCGAAAAATAGGAAAGAACACGTTAGGTAAATAATCCGAGTTTATTTTTAAAAAAAAACAGCTCCATACAGAAGTAGAGCTTAAATTATAATTATTATTTTTTTTAAATATATATATATATGTAAAGAGAGGGAGGGAGAGAATGAGGTAATTGATAGTGCATCGGAAGGAGAAATCGTAGAGCTGAGTTCGAATTCCAGTCTGGTTCGTTACATATACTTATGCACATATATTAATGAGTAACTTTCTTAGGTATACACTTCTCGCAACTCTTGTCATAGAAAGGACCATGTATTCCGTGGGACCCAATGTATTCCGAGAAATATTTCCCATGCCATTACACCACTACCAACTGCCTGAACTATTGTAATAAGACAGGAGGGATCTATTCTTTCATGTTGTTTACAGAAAATCATAATCCTAACATGGAAATGTCACAGCAGAAATCGAGACTCATCAGACCTCGGCAACGTCTTTAAATTTTTTTGTTTTTCAATTTTTGTGATCCTTAGCGAATTGTAGTCACAATTTCATGTTTTTGTCTGAGAGTCGTGGCACATGACGTAGTCTTCTGCTGCTGTAGTACATCCGTGTCAAGGATCAACGTGCTGTGCGTTCAGTGACGCTCTTCTGTATGATTCTGGTGTTTATTTGTGATACTGTTGCTTTTCTATAAGTTTGAAACAGTTTGGTCATTGTCCTACGACCTCTTCATTCAGCAAAGAATGCTGCTCACTGGAATTCTCTATAGAACTTAGTGATGTTTCTGCGTCAAAATCCTCGTAGATCAACGGGTTTTTGAACTACTTAGGTTTACACGTATGGACCCAACGATCATGCTGCATTGAAATCACATTTCTGCCCTACACTCATACATGAAATGATGTTCTGAAGGTCATCATGGCCAGGTTTAGATGCTTGTTTGGCATTAAATTGCCAGGTCGTTGACTGATTAGAAATTTGAATAAAAGAGGATTTGTTCACATGTACTAATTTTAGTGGTCAATGAGAGAGAGAGAGAGAGAGAGAGAGAGAGAGAGAGAGAGAGAGAGATCAATGAAAGGGATACAGACTTAAAGAAACAACATGAAATAAAGATGAAAATTAAAGATGGAGGCAGAAATAAAGAGGAAAGAAAGGCAACGAAAATGTGAACGAAGATAAAGAAAACGCAAAAGAAGATAGATAAAGAAAATGAGAATGAGGAAAGAGAGATAAAGAAAAAGGGAATGAGGAAGAAGAGGTATAAAGAAAATGAAAAGGAAGGAAAGATGAAGAAAATGAAAATCAGGAAAGAGACAAAAAGAAAAGTTGAATGTGGTAAGATCGATAAAGAAAATGAAAAGGAATGAAGAAAAGATGAAGAAAATGAAAAGGAATGAAGGAAAGAAAAAGAAAAATGAGAATGATAAAAGAGAAAAAGAAAATGGGAATGAAGGAAGAATGATAAAGAAAAGGAGAATGAGGAACGAGATATCAAGAAATCTAATGCGAACAATAGACAGACATACGAAAATGGGTAGATATAGAGAAGGTGGCTTGGGTACCTCGGCGTGGTGTAATGGTTAGCAAGCTTGTCTCGCTAGACAGTTACAACTGAAAAGTCAGTTCAATCCTCACTAAATGCCCCATACTCGCGGCCTTGTGCGACATCTAAGCTACGCATTGATAAAAAGAAAGGGAGAGATAGATATTGTCCCGACAAAACTATTGATATTCTCAAAATTTGGCATAAAGTATCTTTAAATTTTTTGATTAATTAATTTTCTGTATGTTGTTTTTTATCACAACATTTTGGCTCGTTCCTTTCTTTGATGGATGAAATAATACGACATTAGAAATAAAGAAATGCTTTTAAAGTTACTTGAGCTCTCATCTTCAACCAAGAAAGCTCATCTTCCATCTATACATACATTAAAAAGAAATAAAATATAAAATTCATAAACTTATCTTCTCGACTTCGAGTTTCGCAGATGTAATCTGCGCCTTAGTTCAATTTAATTTATGAATAAATATTTTATAATGATTATAAAACTTTACATAAAAACGTTAATGTTTGTGTCAAAAAATTTAAATTTGTTTTTTCCTAAGGAAGTTATTGCAAGGCGTAAACTAGTCTGAACATTTTCGATCCAGTATATTATTTCTTAAGTTTTCTATGCATAGTTTTATCGGGACAATATCTATCTCTCCCTTTCTTTCTTTCTTTCTTTCTTTCTCTCTCTCTCCACACACACACACACACACGCATATACATTTTTTTTTACAGCAAATAAACAAAAATTACCTTGAAATAGACTATCCTGAAATATTACATGACCTCACCATTTTTCTTTGAATCCATTCTTAAAGAATCTAACTTATATTTATCTAATACAAAGAATACATTCTTAAACAGGCGAGCCATAAACTAGAAACCTGCGACACCCCTCTGCGAGAGTTGATGGCAAAAAGGTGAAGATAAAAACCAAATTAGACAGACGCACACAGACAATTACAAATACACATTATCATCCTTTGCCCACTTAAACATACAAGAATTTTCACAAACCTACATACGTATAAAATTATTCACAGTTTTAATACACGTGACACTTGTCTGACCAATGAGAATTGACTCATACATAATTGAAAATACCAGTGTTTTCTGTCTTTTTGTCTATTTTCTCTCTTTCTCTGACGAAGCTTTAATTAAAGTGAAACATGTTAGATTGGCATAGGTTTCTTATTTGTTCTTTTATTTTATCATCCTGTCGAATTCCGGTCCGTATCTGATCTACATTTGATCTTTAAATCACACACACACACGTGGACTCTCCCGTCGAATTCGATGTATGAACAGTTCAGTCCCTAGAAACCGACAATCAGACACCAGCACATATGATTTGATTATAGTGGTGAAAGCTTTGTGCAGAATCAACCATAATTTCTGAAGGGCTGAATACAGAGACCTCGTGCACTACGTGCCACAAGGTCACCAAAATGACCCTCTGCAGGTTTTGAATTCAGAGTTGTCCTTCTCCTAGACCAGTTGCCATCCAAGGCTATAGAAGGAGACGCGGTTGAGAATATGTATGTATGTATGCATGAATATTAAAATATATTTGGACAGCCAACTTTCTTTGAAATATCTTTCATTAAATGCCACAGACAAGGAAGTTTTATTAATTTTTTCCCGCATTCTTACATCTTTTTCCGTTTTGTAGGAGTAAGAGAGTAAAAACATTTTCTATAATTTTTATTGTCCTAAGCGCTTTCAACCACTTCTGATTAACTTTTGTGTTGTTATGAATAGGAGCGTTCATTCCGAGGCTTCACGTGTTGTGCATAGCTGAAATTCGAGTGAGCACCATTCTATTAAAAAAACAAAAACAAAGCACTTTTAACAGTCCCTTTCCAATGTTGAATAATGTGAGGTTAACAGTAGGAGAGGAATGTTTGATATACAGTGCCTCTCTAATAGCGATATATATATAACTTTGGTAAATTTACCGTTTACATAAAACAACTAAATCGAAAATTTTATATATATATATATATATATATATATATATATATATATATATATATATATATATATATATATATATTTGTTATACATTATTTATAAGGACACAAATGTTTAAGTAAATGCTCTGTTTATAATAAACAGTATTAACTACATTTACCGGCCTGAATATCCGAGAAATCTTATAGAAAATATGCGTTCTCCTACAGGAATGCGAACCTGTACCTAACACGGAACCGTCATATAGCCTAACGTGTTATACCAGTTTAGTTACGAAGGAAGCGTCTGGTTAACAAGGTCGATTTACTGTATTTAAACCAAAAACTTCCCATGGTTTCCCTCGAACGTTCATATCTGCTCGAACGTAAACAAATGACGTCATATATTAGGAAATGGACGAAGTACGACAATTATTTGAATATATTATATTGTTATACGTTATTTATATAGACACAAATATTTAAGTAAATGCTCTGTTTATAATAAACATATTTTCTATGAAATTTCTCGGACACCCAGACCTGTAAATATTGTTACTAGTGTTTAATATAAACAAAGCATTTACTTAAATAATTATGTCTATATAAATAACGTATAACAACAAAACATATTAAAATAATTGTCGGACTTAAACCAGTTCAGAAAAATTATAATAAATAATTATTGCTCTACTCTTGGTATTGAGCCCTCTTTTGAATTAATGCTGTGAATGTTAGAATTTATATTATCTTCGTTCGCATTACATCCAGATACATACATATATATATATATATATATATATATATATAATATTAGTAGTAAATATACACATACATATTTAAAATATATACATATATATACATACATACACATACATATATATTTGTATAAAAAAATTCCACCTGGATAGAATCCTCTTTAAGCCTTTTTTTTTATATCCTATATGTATGCCCTGTATGTATATATATTTATATATTTTCATATGTATTGCATATTTTTATTATATATTATCAATATATATTACTCCTTACCATTATAAGTTGAGCTCTCCTTGGTATACTTCTAGTTAAACTACATTTATTCCAACCTATTCAGATGGAGGACCATGGAATATTAGTGTTTAAGCCTTTTTATTATATATATATATATATATATATATATATATATATATATATATGGTTATTTACACAGATTAGCTTCGCGTGAAAGAAGGTTACATTATATTGGATACTATTATTTCACTAATATTTTAACTTATAAATTGAAAGATAAAACGGATTGGCTAATAATGACGCTATTGTAGACGTTTGGAGATTAAGATCTTAAGAGGACATTTAAATTGGCAAAAGGATAACCATTAAGATGCCTGTTTCGCTCATTTTCTCTCTCTGTTTTTTTTCCCCTTGTTCTTTCTTTCTTTCTTTCTTTCTTTCTTTCTTTCTTTCTTTCTTTCTTTCTTTCTTTCTTTCCATCATCATCATCATCATCATCATCATCATTTTGGCAATTATGTTTTTGTTCTGAGATTAATTTTTTCTTTTTCTCTTTTTCTTTTACCTCTTCTGACGCGTTTTTCTTCTTCTTCGTTATTCATTGTTTGTTTTTCTTTTCTTTGGCTTTCTTGGTTGTTTGTTCTTTGTTTTTAACTAATATTATTCTCTTCCTTCATTCGTATGATGCGTTTCTCTTTAATTTCTTCTTTCTTTCTTCTCCTAGGTTCATTGCGTTCTTTCCCTTCCGCCCCCTCTTATCTTTTGCCTCCCCTTTCTCTACAACATCTCCTCCGCCTCTTCTTATTCTTCCACCCTGTTTTCCTTGTATATATCTTTTTTTAACTAAGCCCTTTTCTTCTCTTCATTATCTTTTCTCCTTCCTTGTCTGATCCTATTTCTTTTTGTCTAACATGATTCATCTTGCTGAACGTGATTTCGATGAGTTTTTTTTACATCTATTTTTATTGAGTTTTTGCCTCAAGATCGCATGCAAACGAAACAAGTTGAGCTATTATTACGTGATGCCGTGACCTGCTTTTGTCACGCACTTGAACCTCATAGTTTTCTTTCCATCAAATTGCAGAGGGAACTGAAGAACAAATTGTTGTTCCCCGCCCCTCTTTTTTTTTGCTGTACAACTCTTAGATGCGAGTAGAATTCATGTCCAATTCTTCGAGGCCTGCCATCTAACCACATGCATTGATTTCGATGTCCGTTTGACTTCTTCAAGTCCGGATTCATGTCCGACCATTTCAGTAAATAGTTTTGTCTATTCACATCCGATTATGTACTTGCAACTGCTTTTATCGTTTTGTTGTATTATCTGTGTTTTCTGCCAGTATGCTCTTTAAACTCCTTTATATTAATATGGCTACACCAAAGACAAGAAACATAGATCAAAAAAAAAAAAAAAAAAAGAAAAGAAAAAAAGAAAAGTCAAATTAAAATAAGCGCATTTACACGCGTGCAAGCGAATACATGTCGATATCAAGAATCTGTGAGATAAACTGTTAATTTATTAGCTTAGTTTGATCTGGTACAACATATCATTAGCGTTGCACAGAGTGGTGACAGAACCGACTAGGTGATAACAACGAGCATATAAATTATTAAATTAAAGATTAATATATTTTTATAAAGAAAATGAATGAGCATTATTTATATTTTGACCGGGAAAATATGATTAAAACAAAAACAGCAAATAAAAAAAAAAATAAACAGAATTCTAACTCTTGTTTTTTTACCTTGAGTCTGACATCGACAATTACAGAGAACGAACCTGAATGTATTCGAAGTAAAAGAAGGAAAGATGCAACAATGAACAATCAGCTACAGGTAACTGCTTTCAAGTGCAGCAGCCGTGCCAGGAACTGACACTTCAAAACTGAGCGCCCATTGGCTAAGTAGAGAAACGGGGTTAAAAAAGAATAACGACTAATTTTTAATTCAATTTTGTATCAGTTTATCTAGGTGCTTCCAAAGACTTTCTAAAAAAGAGCATACCATGATGAAAAATGCCCCACACTTGATGGAACCGTCAAAATGTTTATTTTAGTATTAAGATGAAAGACCAAAGCATTTATGAATATTTTAATAATTTCTTTTCGACCAACATTAACAAAATTATTGTATTGAAATTGGTATGAATAGATAATATGAAGGAAGATTTGAGTACGTTTGAAACATGTAAATTAACGATAAAATATATGTAAATTGAAAAGTTGCAAATACTCGAACGTGTTCTAAAATACGAAGGAAATTAATACTCACGATCCTCCATACCAATTTTGATACAATAATTTTATCAACGTTGGTCCCTGAAAAAGTGTTGGCCGAAAGGTGCCTTGGTACCCCCTCCAAACAGAACACCAAACGGTGTTTGTTTGGATCAATTTATGCATTCCGTGGCATTAAATTGTTATATATATATATATATATATATATATATATATATATATATATATATATATATATATATATATAATCTAAAGAGAGAGAGAGAGAGAGATAGAGAAAGAGAGAGATAAGTGATCATTGAAGTGATCCTGCTAGACATCACGCCACATGTGTTGTTTTTTTCAAGATAAATAAATAAATAAAATAATAAACAAATTAACAATCCAACAGTTAGAATTACTTTCCCAGACCAAAACCAACTAACCATTAGAATGGACTACCCACAAAAGATCAAAACTAATCTTTAAAAATCTTTTAGAACGTTACTAAAAAATTGAAAACCCAAAAGTATAAATAAATATATAAAATAAAAATAAATAAAGAATAAATTAATCCAAATAAATAAATAAACCACTCCCGCCAAATTAACCGTTAGAATGGGCTACCCACAATTCACCACTGACATATATATATATATAACTAGTGGGGAAAAAATCTGATAATTACTTCTAGCATGAAACAGTCTGTCGCCTCTGAATGTTGACTCCAATATTCACTTTTATATTTACATACTTGATATTGAGCACTTTAATCCATAAATATAGCACACATGAATATATATATATATATATATATATATATATATATATATATATATATATATATATATATATTATTTATTTAAAAATATGATTCCAAATCGCGACATAAGAAGTCCCATGTTTCAAAACAAGAGCCGAAAACTTCAATATAATTATTTAAATTAAATTGAGTTAAAATAAGTTAAAAAAATTCTATCTCTGTTCCATCTTCAAGCGAAATTTTTTTTTTTCAATAACGTGTTTCTGAAATTTACGTGTTTTAAAAATTGAAATCAAAATTTCCATGGTAACAGCTAGGGCGAATTGTTTAAGTTGGGTAGGCGGGTGTTGGGTGTTAATAATAAGTATCAGTATAGAGTTACTTTCGTAGATGTCAAGTCAGGGAAAGGTGGGGGTGTCTAAATTTGAAACGGAAGATGTATTAACCCTCGTCTAGTTTGCATGTCTTATTTTAACTCAATTTAATTTAAATAATTATATTGAAGTTTTCGGCTCTTGTTTTGAAACATGGGACTTTTTATGTCACGATTTGGAATCATATTTTTAAATAAATAATTATATTTATGCTCTACTTTTGTATCGAGCATTATTTTTTAAAAATAATAACTAAAATACTAAGGGACTTTGGATTATTTACCTAACCAGTTCCTTCCTATTTTCTATATATTTTCATATATATATATATATATATATATATATATATATATATAGGTATGTTAAAAAATCATGTATACGCATATATACTTGCACGCATATAGATATATTTTTCATAAGTGTTAAAGAAACAGTGCCCAGTGTTATATAACAGAGCTATTAAGTATATATTAGTGAATATACATAATATACCACGTCGATAGCACGACTCGGAGTTTTATGCAAACACGCAATCTTCAGGTTCAAAATACCCATTGACCGTTAGTGCGTTATGAAATTTGCGTACAGTCGAAAGCGAAAAAAGAAGGAAAAGAAATGGGGAGAGAATATAAAGAGACAAGAAAATGATGAAAAGGAGAAATAACCATGACATTTGAAACATGCACATACACACATACACCTAACAACACACACACACACACACACACACACACACACACACACACACACACACACACACACACACGCGCGCGCGCGCGCGTACGTGCACACACACAGAGACACAAAAGAGGAAATAATCCAATAATAAGAGTAATAGCGCATAATTTAATTACACTAAACTTAATCCCATGTATACTGCGCATTTCAGAAAATTTTGTAAAGTTCTTTACTAAATCTACGTGAACAGGTCGGTAGACAAAATAAAGTGTGTTTTAAAAACACGGTGCATTCTACACAAATACAGGTATCTACTCAAAATAACGTGTGAAGTAATAAAATTATGTCGGATTATTGTCTGTTATATTTAATAATAATAATAATAATAATAATATATATATATATATATATATATATATATATATAACTCTTATGTAGTGAAGGAATCATATTTTTAAAAAAATAATTATAATATTGTTGTGGTAGGATCCACCTAATTTGCATAGTGGAGTACAGACCATATAAATATTGTTGGTACCGGGAAGAGAGGGAGGAATCAAGAGATTCAACCAGAGACTCTGCCCGACTGCGACTCAGTCAACACATTCTCCAGGAACGGTCTTACCAGGAATATACAAAAGACTATATGTAAATATTGTGTACACTTTCTTGTTTCAATACAGTTTGTTCTAAGTACATTTTGTGTTGCATTATTATTCCATGCATTAGTCAAGTTTCAACAAATATATATATATATATATATATATATATATATATATGTGTGTGTGTGTGTGTGTGTGTGTGTGTGTGTGTGTGTTCAGATATGTAAAAATAGGAAAGAACACGTTAGGTAAATGATCCGGAGTTCTTCAGTATTTTTGTTTTTATTTAAAAAAAAACAGTGCTCCATACAGAAGTAGAGCTTAAAAAAAATAAAATGAAAATAAATAAACAAATAAATAAATAAAATAAAACAAATTTCTCTAGATACTCAACGACATACTGTGGGATCAAAAGTAATCTTTTTCTGTGACTGACCAGACGGTGTGCGCACATGAATGCCATGAATGCCATCAATCGCTTTGAAATGGATACCCCCACCCTACCTCAGCTTGACCTCTTTCCGAAGGTGACTTATATGTAGATAAAAATTATCTCTTAGACCCCTTACAAAAATGGTCGCCCCAGCCGTTTCCATAGTAATTAATTTTGCGAATGAACATGCTTATAAAGATGCGTAAATTTCAAGATTGGTTATTCCTATATTTTCGCTTGAGAATGAAACAGGGCTTGTTATTTTAACTCAATTTAATTTTAAGAATTATATTGAGGTTTTCGGCTCTCCTTTTTGAAACATGAGAACTCTTATGTAGCGAAGGAATCAATTTTTTTTAAAAAATAATTATACATATATATATATATATATATATATATATATATATATATTACTGATGTGTATTTGGGCAGCAACCTTTCTTTCATGCATCTTTCATACAAAACGCCCGACAAGGAAGATGATTTAATCTTTTATTGAGTTTATTTCTTTTACAGCAATCAAACATTTTCCCGTTTTTCAGGGTTTAAAGAATATAGGAACTGTCCATACTCATAATTCTTCCGAGCGCTTTCGGCTACTTCTCTAGCCATTATCACGTCAAATAGCCTTACGGGAGGAGACGGCGTGTTAAAAGTTTTCTAAAAATAGAAGTTTTTCCCCGGTCGACTGGCTGCGCATAGCACGTAACCGCTAAGAAGCACACGAACCGCTCGAACTCACACTGTAAAATTCCTATGTAGCAGCCACACAGAGAATTTCACCATCCAAAAACAACATCCTTGATAATGGCTATAGAACTAGC